CAGGGCTGTTACACAAAGATACCCTGTCTCAATAAAGCAAAACAAAAACAAACAAACAAAACAAAACAAACAAACAAACAAAACCCAATAAACAAACCAGAGTTTGTCTTCTATGGAAATGCAGAGCATGGCAGGGCTTGAAGAAGACGCCACAGGACAGCACGCATGTCAGCAGGAACAGTGAGGCAGAGGCAATAAGGGATCTGCTGGGTCCCACTCTCAGCCCTGCCCCTCCTTGGAAGGCTGTCACTCAGAAGGCACACGGGTCCCCAAGCACACCGGAGCATTCTAAGTGCTCACACACTTCTCCCTCCTTCCTCATCTTCTGGCTGGTAAGTGCGTGCTTATATTAGATCTAAAATCTCCTGCTAGGACGACATCTCTGGAGTTCAGACCAGCAGGGTCTGTGTCTTCAGTGTGTGAGCTTTAGTGTCCCTCCTGTCAAAGATCACAATCATCCTTGCCATATGGCCCCCAGGGCTTTAGATGGAAGCAATTACGTTAAGATATTGAACGGTGTTTTGGTTGTTGTTTTTTTTTTTTTAATCTAGGTCACAGACATGCTTTAACTGGAATTTCTTTCAGTATCTTTCAGAACAAAAAGGACAAACATACAAGTGTTGTAAAATGCTGCATGGCCTCTTTAAAAGGCCAGTTTGGCAGTCAAAATACCCATATATAAAAAAAATGGAATAAGAGAATCTTAGAAGACCAGTTTGGGCCGAGGTGGTGATGCATGCTTATAATTTCAGCATTTTGGAGGGTGAAGGAGCAGGGTTGTGAATTAGGGCCCAACCTGTTATATATCCCCTTTTCATTCATTCATTCATTCATTCATTCATTTTTTTAAAAATCTAACAAAATAAAATATAGTAAGATAAAACAGAAACTATCATATCAAAGTTGGAAGGGACAAACCAACAGAAGGAAAAGAGCCTAAGAGAAGGCACAAGAATCAGAGACCCCCTTGTTCTCACATACGGGAATCCCATAAAAACACTCAACTTTGAGCCATAATTTAAACACAGAGGACCTGGTGCAGGCCCATGCAGGCCATGTACATGCTGCCTCAGTCTCTGCGAGTTCATGTGAGCTTTGCTCATGTTGGTTAAGGGGCCCTTGTTCTCTCGCTGTCCTCCATCCCCTCTTACACTCTTTCCACCTCCTCTTCCATGGGGTTCCCTGATCTCGGAGGGGAGGGATTTGGTGGAGACATCCCACTAAGGGATAAGCGTTCCAAGGTCTCTCACTCTCCGTGTGATGTCTAGCTGTGGGTCTCTGTATTTGTTCCCATCTGCTGCAGGAGGAAGCTTCTCTGATGATGGTTGAGCAAGGCACTGATCTTTGAGTATAGCAGAATATTGTTAGGAGTCATACATTTCTTTATCTTTTTTTTTTTTAGACCAGTACTGTTTGGTTTTACCCTAGGCTATCTAGTCTCAGGGTCTTGGTTATCCAAGCAGTGTCAGCTATGGATCTATCTCATGGAGTGGGTCTTAGGTCAAATCAGTTATTGGTCGGTTACTCCCACAAGCTTTGGGTCATTATTGCCCTAGCATGTCTTGCAGGTGATACACCATTGTAGATGAAGGGTTTCTGGCTGGCTTGGTGTTTGTGTTGGTCTTTTGATAGCATGAAGAGTGCCTTCCTGAACCAAGGAGGATGGGATATAGGGATGAAGGCTCTATGTAGGCACCAGCTCATCATCTTCACATTCAATGAGTCAGGTAGGTGTTGTCTTCAGCAATGGGGACTTGCCCTCAGTTTGTGGAGAGCAACCTACAGTCTTGGCAACAGCCTGGGTTCTTTGGGGATGTTTCCCACGGAGCTGCTTTGGCTAACAACTCAATTAGATGTAGCCCAATCCAAGGACTGGAAGCTTCGTTTGGTGGCAAAAGATGATCAGCTGGGACACTGTTGCCTCATTATTTGGTGACTTCATGTAGCTCACTTCCATATATGTATATATTTTAGGTTTCCAAACTACCCCTCAAATGGCCCTTAATTTCTGCTGTCTCTCCCCCATGTCCCCTCCCACAATGCCCTCTCCCCTCCTCTTCTCCATTTGATCATCCTATTCTAGCTGCCCCATCTATGTATCTGTTCTATTTCCCTTTCCAATGAGATCTGTCTGCACCCCAGTCCCTTACTCTACCCCTAACAACTGTGGTTCTGTGGACTGTAGCTTGATCATCATTGACTTAGTAGCTAATATTCATGTACAAGCAAATACATGCTATATTTGTCTTTCTGAGTCTGGGATCACTTAGGATGATTTTTTTCTAGTTCCATCGATTTGCTTGAAATTTCATGATATCATTTACTAAATAGATGAATACTTCTCCATTGTGTAAGTGTATCACATTTTCTTCCATCCTTCTGTTGACGGACATCTAGGTGGTTTTTAATTTCTGACTATTAGAATAGATGGCAATGGACACGGTTGAGCCAGTGTCTCTGTGGAGGGATGAAGCACCCTTTGGGTTCATGCCCAAGAGTGGTATAGCTGGATCTTGAGGTAGATCAATTCCCATCTTCCTGCTGAACCACCACACGGATTTCCATAGTGTCTGTAGGGGTTTGCACTCCCACCAGCGATGGACAAGTGTTTCTCTTACCCCACACCCTCTAAATGAGCTGTCACTGTTTTGTTAATCTTGGGCTGAATGGTGTTTTCTAAATGGACAAGAGATGCAAGGAATGTCAGTGATGGTGGTAATGGTGATGGTGAAGACAGTGATGGTGGTGAGGATGGGATGGTGATGGCAGTGACGGTGAAGGTGATGATCGTGGTAGCAATAATGATAACAGTGATGATGATGATGGTGATGGTGGTGATGATGGTGATGGTAATGGTGGTAATGGTGATCATTATGATGGTGGTGATGAGGAGGAGGAGGATGGGGCAAGGGTGTAGCAATGGTGATGACTGTGGATGCTGAAGATGCTGAGGGTGATCATGGTGATGATGGTGATGAGTATGATGATGATGATGAGGAGGATGGTGGCAAGGGTGTGGCAATGGTGATGACTGTGGATGCTGAAGATGATGAAAGTGATAATGGTGATAGAACTGAGGTAATTATGTGCAAGGACCTAGCAAAGGAGTACCACCTGCCTTTTGCAAGGTGGTTTAAGCCTGTTCTCTTATGGTTCCTTTCTTGCTTTGTGTCTCTGTTGACCACATAGCTTACTACCCACCTGGGATGACTTGGGGAGTGTGTTCTTATTTACACGGAGACAGCCGTGCACTAGCGGCCTCCAGTCCTATCTTGTGCTTTGCTATGAACAGAACAACCTGGGGGAAGCTGACCTCAAGAGTCTAGAGCGTCAAGTGCACCCTGCCCGCACTCAACACTTCAGCCTGGTTTAAATTTGGACCCAAAGTACTCAAAAATAGAATTGGCTGGGAATGCAGAAAGCCAGTGCGTCTTACATTCTGGGCCGTTAGACTTTTGTCTGGATGGCTGACAATACCAAGTCCGTGAGGGGGCTGTCCAGCAAATGGGTAACGGGAGTCACTGTTGGACATTCGTGTCTGTGAGAGCACAGAGGCCATGACTCACAGGTCACTGCCTTGTATTTGGGGACACGTGTGTGACATTTGGAGGAAGAGTAGAGGCTCCCAGGCACCTCCCACCTGCCAGGCCCTTGACCTGGGCAACTTCATCGACTGGTGGGACTGTTCGGTGGGCAGCACAGGCCTTCGGCCTCTGGGGACCAGGCCACCGGAAGCCACTTCTGCAGCCCCACACAGACAACATCTGGTGAACCTCCCAGTGGAAGACGCAGTTTAGCTGACAGAAATGGAAACTGTTCCTTCGTGTGACCGGGAAAGTGGTAAGCAGTCCTTTTTCCTACTTCTCGTTTATACCTGTGTCTTAGAAATCTAGGGCGTGTGACACAGAAAATGCTGTCACTAGATCTGCAGAAATATCTTGAAGAAAAATCTAAAAGCCTCCAGGTCTGACTTGACAGCTCTATTTTCAGAAGGGTGTTGAATCTTTTAGAGGTTATCACTTAGGCACTGAATACTATTGTCTTATTGGAACAAGATTGGATATCTAGAATATTCCATATAATCTATTTCTAGAGCTGAATATTATTCATCTATTGGAACAAAAGTGAATGTCTGGAATATTCCATATAAGGTTTTGCAGAGCAAGTTGGAGAAGGAGAATTTAAAACAAATGCCCAGTGGCCCGAGGTGAGCCATTAGCCAGGGCAAACTAACATCTTGCAGAGATGACAGATGGGAAAGAGAGGGATACATTCCTCCCATCTGAGCTAGCTCCCGGCACAGGGAAGAATCCTCAAAACAATGGGCTGAAATCCTTTCCTAAGACAAGCCCTCTGGGCCCCCTGTCAGAAACCCCACTAATCGCTTCCCAAGCTCCCCACCCTGTAGATGAAGCCTGGTTCACAACATTTACAGCTAAGTACATTATTAAAAGTCAAACCAAACAACGTTTGCCAATCCCTGGGGGAATGTGGCGAGGAATGAATAATTCTGAAAAGATCCTGGCATCTGTGTGCATTAACCACAAATGGCCATTAAGTCAGCGCAGTGCAGCGCAGGGAGAAGCCTGCAGGCTGCAGCGTTCACGCCCATGAGAAGAGCTGCTTCTCCCCCCTCAGCCTTTTCAGGAGGCCAAGGCCTGGTTCCCACCCACAGTCAGCCCGAGGGCCACCTTCTCTCCCTTTGATCCCTAGAAAGAACAACCTAATTCCTTCCCAGCAGCTTCGCCAAAGACTGCAGTCATTGCCCTGAACGTCTGTGAGGCTCTTGTAGCTCCCCAGAACCCCAAGGCCAGGAGGAGCTTGCAGGCAGCAAACAGCCTTGGAAGATGGGCGCTCGCAGTCATCTCCAGTGTGTGGTGGCCTGTGGTGTACACCGCCTCTAACCAAAGATGGGAGCATGGTCTCCATGGCAGCTGGCCCTCCCCTCTTCCGTCTCACACTTCGCATGCTCTGGGAATGACTAGGCTTCTGGATGCTGTGTTGTCAGGGAGATGGCCAGGCCGGCTTTGCTATCCTTATATAGTTATGACATTGGCTAATTACCTAGTCAGCCTGAAACCGGTTTTCTTATTTGTCAATATAGACCAAGCTTCTTCCGATTGCAAGATTAGAGCCTCAAAAAGAGGTCACGAGACCTTGGAAGTGAAGATGGCGAGGGAGGGCCTCCTTGAACATCGGATGGCTTTGCTCCACGTCAAATGGAGCAGGAGTTTGGCCAGTATCCTCAGGAAGTGTCTCCTCAGTGCCATGTGTCCCACTGAGTCTCTGATGTCTGTCTGTCTGTCTGTCTGACTCTCTCTCTTTCTATGTGTGTGTGAGAGAGGGGAGGAAGGGGAGAGTTAGGGAAGGATGGAGAGAGGGAGGGAGGGAGAGAGGGAGGGGGGTGGGTAGAGAGAGCGTCTTTCTGTAACTGCCATAGCTCCAGTTTGCAGTCTGGAGAAACCCATTCTGACTGGATATAAGAATCCCCGCCACCGCTACCCCCTTGTCAGCTCTGGTGTGCCCCACCTGTAGTTGGTCTGACCTTGAGCCATGTGTCTTGTCCTGCTCCGGTCAGGTAGTAGGAGTCAGGACCATATACAAGGTAGAGTGCCGCACAGGCTAAGGAGTTTTGTGCAGAGAAGTAGGTCTGTGGGCGGGGCTTCCCGAAGATCCCCGGCCTGGAGAATTACTGGGCCTGTGGGACACAAATACCAAGCCTGCCCTGGGGGCTCCTGTTAGGCTTGCTGCTGCCAGAAAAGCCTGAGTGTGTATCAGTTACCGTTAGGAGAGTTTGATGATCCCACATGGGTTGACTTTCAGAGAGGTGTGGTGGGTGTGGTTTCCTGGCACCCTGGTTCAGAAGGTCTCCAGGCTTGGGGTGTCAGGCTCTGGGGTTGCTTAACCTTTTTGTTTGTTTGTTTGTTTGTTTTGTTCTGTTAGAATGTGTTTTGTGCACACAGTCTGGAGAGAGAGACAATGGGCCTGGGTCTTCTGCTCACTGTGGTCCTGGCGTTTCCCTGCCCAGCTGGGATGGATCCTTGACCCTTCACCTATTGCCCAGACCACTCCCTCCCACCCTCAGATCATGTGTCCCTCTGCTTGGACAAGTATGACTTGTTTTAGTGTGTGTGTGTGTGTGTGTGTGTGTGTGTGTGTGTGTGTGTGTGTGTGGTGGGGTGGTCTTTGTCTACAATCATCTTCCACTCCTAGAGGGGGCCTGGGCAGGCACATAGGTGAGGGGTTATGTCATCTCCATTCTGAATGGAGGGCCGTATTGCAGAGGAAGGGCAAGGCCCCCTGACCGAGTCTTCAGAGCACCCAGCACTGAGGCTGTCCTATAGTACGGCCCCTGTCCCCCTAAGGACTTAGACAGCAGGGTGATCCTGCTGACTCCATGTGTTTCTGTCAGGTGACGGATGGACAGGAGAGTCAGTGACTGGTGTCCATCAAAAAAAGCACAGTGATTTCATAATAGACATGAGCAGCTCCCTCAAGGACCCCTGGGCTCAAGAGACAGTGACATTCAACAAGAAGCAAGAAGTACCATGGCAGGTAAGAGAGGCACAGGAGAAAGAGACAGATGGCATACCTAATTCCTTTGTATCACTTCCTGTCAACAAGGAAGCGGCCTCGTCTTCTATGCTGGGCCCACAAACTGTGCGGCCCGTGCGGCCCCGAGCTCAAGAACTCCAAAGATTGCAGGTCCATGTCTCCTCTGTCACCCTAACGAAACCGTCCGGGTGTCTCCGAGCTCCTGGATGATTCAAACTCCAGAAGCTTAGAATTGATACCCTGGTGGGGCCAGGAGATGACTCAGTTGGTGATGTGTTTACCGTGCAAGAAGGAAGACCTGAGTTAAATCTCCAGAACCCATTAAAAAACCCAAACTAGTTATGGTGGGGGTTTGTAATCCCAGCACTGGGGAGGCAGAGGCGGGCAGATCCCTGGTGCTGGCTCATTAGCCGGCCTTGTCTACTTGGTGAGCATCAGGTTCAGTGGAAGACCCTGTCTTAAAAACAAAGAGGAATGGAACTAAGGATATCTCCTCTCTCTCTCTCTCTCTCTCTCTCTCTCTCTCTCTCTCTCTCTCTGCCTCTCTGTCTCTCCTTTTCTTCCTCCCCATCTCTCTGTCTCTGTCTGTCTCCCTCTCTGTCTCTGCCTCTCGGTCTCTCTCTCTCTCTCTCACACACACACACACACTCTCTCATAAACACAAACATACTAAAGAATGTACATACCAGAGAGTCTCAAATTTTCCCACATGCAGCATTTGCATATAGATTCTCATCCTCGGCACTATGGGACAGCACTTATCTTTTTGGGGAGCTCTACACCACTCCAGTTTATAGATCAATGACATTTTGTCTGCCCCTACCTTTTGGCAACTGTTCATGATGACTTCCTGAGCGAGGGTTTGCAGAAATTTCTTCAGGACCTGCCTTTCAGTTCATTTGCATATACATTTAGAGGCTGGACAGCCGGGTAGCATGAGCAGAGCTCTTGGAGGAACACCCACATTGTTTTATGGCATCTCACACTCCCACTGCCATTCACAAAGGGCTGAGTTTCTTCACGTTCTCACTAGTGTCTGCTTTTGCTCTGCGTCCATCCTAATCCGTCAGGCTAGTAATTCCTGCTGGGGTGTTTCATCGAGGCTTTGATTTGAATTCTCCGCTGGCTACTGGTGGTCAGCATCTTTCCTGGGTTTACCTGCATTTGTTCTCTTTGGACAGACATGGTTTTTAAGCCCTGGGATGCCACATAACTGAAATGAAGCCTTGTCTTCCCAGGCAGATAATCGGCCGGGTGAAAATGAAACGGGACTCAAAGCACTCTGGGAAGCCGCCCAGTGCCGGACGCTGTGGGAAAGAGCTGGGACAGGGGGTGGTTTTGTGCAGGAGGTAAGGGAAGATTCTTCTGAGGATAGGATGTGGGGAGGCCTGGAGGCTGCAGGAGAAAACGCAAGGCCTAGGGAATGTGGGAAGAGCAGGGGTGAATTGAGGTGCAAAGGCCCTGAAGGAAGGGTTGTCCGTGTCTGAGAACAAGGGGACCAGAGGCAGGAGAGGAGTGGGGAGGGGCGGGGACAAGGGGCGTTGGTACAGGAACAATACTCCTAAGGAGTCACACAGGGCCAAATAGAATGTCGGTGGATGGAGGTCAATGCAGAACCTTACAGCTGGTCAAAGTGTAGGGGCTAAGTGTCTGTGGAGTGCTCAGCCGCAAATGGGACATCTAAATCACACTCCTGTCCCCCAAGGCTCAGCGACCATCATGGAAGGTAGGCAGAAAGCTTGAAAGAGGCCAGAGAGGACCAGGATGAAAGGGGGTCTTCTGGATATAACATGGTCAGGGCAACTCGTGAACTCACAGCAGCTGTAGTCGCCTGCATGAGACAAGATCGAGTTGGTCAATGTTCTACCATGGAAGGGGAGGAGTTCAACCCCCACCCTAGCCCTAGCTGAGGAGCTACTCATAGTTGATGGCTTATAGGGGAGGGAGAATCGGTTTTCTTTTAGGGTGTGTCTCTTGGTACGTTGATCATCACCCAGGGGATAGCCCCACCCCCATGAATATATGGACCGCACAAACTGGACTCTGCGGGGTAGATACAGATGTAGACGTAGACCGGACGTAGTCATCGACACAGACATAGATATAGACATGGATTTGGAAATGGGTGGAAGGTAGATCTGGGAGGAGAGAGGAGCAGGCAAGGGATGAATATGATCAAAATACATTACATACATACACGAAATTCTTGGGGCTGGAGAAATGGCTCAGAGGTTAAGAACACTGGCTGTTCTTCCAGAGGTGCTGAGTTCAATTCCCAGCATCCACATGGTGGCTCAGAACCATCTGTAATGAGATCTGGCTCCTTCTTCTGGCCTACAGGGACACATGCAAACAGAACACTGTATACATAATAAATAAATAAATCTTTTAAAAAAAGAAATTCTCAAAGAATTAATAAAAATATTTTAAAAGTATTCTGCATGATGCCTAGTATAGAAAGTGGTTATTACTAAAGTCTGCTCATATTATTCTTCTAGGAGACAAATGTCCCAGCTGCTTTAGTTTCACAGGATATGTAGGAAGAGATCCCCTCTTGAGTCTGGGAGCTGAGAGTCTGCAGAGAGTTCACTGGCCCTTCTGAGGATGCTGGGGTTTATGTTGCCTCTTAGGTGTGTGGCTTTGTCCTGGATTATTTATCCTCTTACGGAATTCTAGGAGCCTGGCAAGTCTTGCACAAGGAAACATTCCAAGGAGGTTGGAGAAGTGTGAGCATGGCCTGTGAGATGTCTGGGATGCCCAGCTATTATTTATATCACAGGCCACTCTAGGAATCCCAGGCAGTCAGAGTCTTAAGGAGTGATCTTTGAGTGTTCTCCTACCTCCGAAATGATGTAGAAAGGCATCATTATTTATTTATTTTTTATTTTTATTTTACGGGAGATTACAATTAAGAGATTGCATAAATCTCAGAAAAGACTTTGCACTCTAGACTTTTAAGTAAGTTTGAGATTGTTATAGACTATGGAGACTTTTGAAGTTGGACTGAATGCATTTTTGTGTTATGATATGGCTACAAGCCTTTGGGGGCCAAGGAGTGGAATGTGGGGGTTTGAAGTAAAATGGCCCCCATAGAGAGTGGCGCTATTACATGTGGCCCTGTTGGAGTAGGTGTGGTCTTGTTGGAGGAAGTGTGTCACTGTCAGTGAGACAGACCACTTCCTGTGGCCTGCAGATCAATATGTAGGACTCTCAACAGTAATCAGATTTTCCTTTGTGGGACTGTCAGCTCACAAATAATGACATGGAGACTTCTTATTAATCATAAAAGCTTGGCCTTTAGCTTAGGCTTGTTCCCAACCAGCTCTTTCAACTTAATTAACTCACATTTTTAAATCTACATTCTGCCATGTGGCTCTGTTGCCTCTACTCTGTACCCTATGTCTGACTTCTTCAGTGTCTGGCTGGCGTCTCCCCATCTCTAGTCTTCCCAGAGTTCTCTCTCACCCCAGAAATTCTTCCTATTCTCTTCTTCCTAGCTATTGGCCATTCAGCTCTTTATTAAACCAATCACAGTGACATATCTTTGCACAGTGTAAACAAATATTCTGTAACACTCAACTCCTTCTCCAGAACCATATCTGCTTGCATGCCACCATGTCCTGCCATATTGATAATGGACTAAACCTCTGAAGCTGTAAGCCACTCCATTAAATGTTTTCCCTTGTAAGAGTTACATTGTCATGGTGTCTCTTCACAGCAATAGAAACCCTAACTAACACAGACTCTGCCATGGAAAGATCCTGTCTCTGCACCAGAAAGGCCATCTCTGAGGTTTTCTCTCCATCACTGCACTGCATTTCCTGGGACACCCCTGGCACATGCCTGGCCTCATAACCCCTTTCTTCTATCCTTAAAGCCAGAACCACATGGCCAAAGCTGCCAAGTCCTGCTGCTTATCTGGTCTGGAACATGACCCCCTCATTCAATTACATCTTCACCAGCTTTCTGGTTTTGATTGTTACCTTTATTGCCTAAGCTTGGCTGTTCAGGAACTTGTTCTGTAGACAGGCTGGCCTCAGACTCAGATCCTCCAGCCTCTGCCTTCCGTGCCTTTGGTTGATAATTCCCGTGAACACAATGTAGCTCTAAGTGAAGTCTTTGAATACTCAAGTAGACCAGGAATTTAGGGACTAGATTAGGTCAAACGGCATCACTAAGCCCAGGATGAGTGCTAAACGCATGCGCAGGTACTTGACTATTGGTGCTTACAGGACCGGGATGTCAATGTTCATTCATACTCGACTGGGAAAAATACAAGGAGGCGAGAGAGTAGGAGGCAAAGAGAGAAAGGCCCTATTTCCTCTGTCACCCTGGCTGCTGACTTCTGCCTCACAAACTGGGTTGATGAGAGGAAATTTCTTCACCCATTGGAATGGAAGAATGAGCTGCACTTCTCACTCTTTCAAAAGGACAGATGCTATATGATTCTCCTCACATCTGGTCCCCAGAATGTCACATTCACAGAGATAGAGAGTGGAGTGTGGGGAAGGTCTGGGGATGTGTCCTGGCTGGTTTTGTGTGTCAACTTGACACAAGCTAGATCATCTGAGAGGAAGGAGCTTCAGTTGAGGAAGTGCCTCTATGAGATCCAGTCGTAAGACATTTTCTCAATTAGTCATCAATGAGGGAGGGTCCAGCCCATGGTGGGTGGTGCCATCCCTGGGTTATTGGTCCTGGGTTCTGTAAGAAAGCAGACTGCGTAAGCCATGGGGAGCAAGCCAGTAAGCAGCACCCCTCCATGGCCTCTGCATCAGCTCCTGCCTCCAGGTTCCTGGCCTGTCTGAGTTCCTGTTCTGACTTCCTTCAGTGATGAACAGCAATGAGAGAGTGTGAGCTGAATAAACTCTTTCCTCCCAAACTTGCCATAGTGTTTCATCACAGCAATAGAAACCCTAAGACAGAGTTGGTGACCAATGGGCACAAGGTGGAAGGGAACAGAGTGGGTGACCAAGGGCACAGGGTGGAAGGGGACAGAGTGGGTGACCAAGGGCACAGGGTGGAAGGGGACAGAGTGGATGACCATTTTGTGTTTATAAGGAAATATAAGTGGAGAGAAGAATCTTCTGGGCCCCTCATCATCATCTGGCACACACACAGACACACATACAAATATGTACTGGATGGTTTTATGTCAACTTGACACAAGCTAAAGTCATTTGAGGGATTCTTGACTAAGAAAATTCCTCCATAAGATATGGCTGTAGGCCAGTCTGTAGGTTATTTTCTTAATTAGTGATCGATGAGGGAGGGCTCAGCCCTTTATGGATGGAGCCATCCCTGGGCTGGTGGTCCTGGGTTCTATAAGAAAGCAGACTGAGCAAGCCATGAGGAGCAAGCCAGTAAGCAGCACCA